TTATGAGTGGCCCATAAACCATTTATGCTGGTGAGTAATGAGCTCTGTTCGCTGGTAATCATAGTTGATAATGTTGCATGCAACTTGCTGCGGCGATGCCGTTGCCTCTGCTGCTGGAGGGCAATAGCCAACCATGTTTTGGGGGAATTGATGAAAAATGCGCTGGATTAGGGAAATGACAGATTGCAATTGGCGTAGTTTATCAGTTTTTGGCGCATGGCACTAAAATTAGATGTGCTCTGCATGGATGGCTTGGGAAATTGTGGACTTTGATAAGCTTAATGGAATTTTGGTGAAAATAGGAAATGAAGTCATGGATAACTAATACAACTATTGTATGTAGCAATTTGTGAGGTTGATTTTGTGCTGGTTATGCGGGCTAAACCAATTCAGACAACCCGGCATATGAGTAACATTTTTATAAAGTTCTCGTTTAATAGTGAATTCGTTTAATAAATAGGGGCAACTCTCTCAAAAAACAATTACAAATGAGTACCGATGCGCGGAAGTGTGCTTATGAAGCTTCATAATCCTAACCTTAAAATATGCTAAAATGTTATCGATATTTTTCAATTCATTTAAAACAATCCATATCGTAATAGATTTGTCCCAAATTCTAACTTTGAACCGATGTTTCTTACGAATATCGGTAATCACATTTCTTTCTACGTTTATCGGAATCGATAACTATCGATTTCATTTAAATTATTATTATCGGTATATGGACACATTTAGCTGCACAGATGAGCATACTCATTGATATCGATTTCGATAAATGTATCGTTAGATTGCTTTATATAGCAATCGGTAAATTAAGCTTTAAATACAAATATCTATAATTAAATATGTATATATGTATGTATGTATGTAGTATGACTCTTAATGTCTATCGCAATTTTAACACAGCTACGAAAATCATAGCAACAAACAGCAGATGTCCATTGAAATTCGCAGCATAAGCATAAAAGAAATCAGTCATAAACAGAATTTTACGCTGTTATTAGTTGCCATATAGGTAAGCACACATACATACATATCTGCGGACATGGTGACAAACATACATGTACCAGCATAAAGAAGGAAAATAGCGCGAAGATAGTTGAAGAGACAAAGAAAAACCCAAAAAAATTTTGCAAGAGACCTAACTGCGAGCATATTAGAGCTAAAACCGTAAGGCCATAAACAGAAATGTAGCTAAATTTGCATGTATTTACTTATAGGTATATTAGGGTGGTTCAAAAATGCATGTGGAAAAGGAAAGTCGGAATTTGTATTCACTCACCCCTTAGGATTGTTCTATACCGAAGAAATATGTCACATTTATTTTTTTTTTTTAATCAAAAAATATTTATAGGTCGCTCAAGGTTGTCAATGTATTTTACATGAAAACAAGTAAGAAAGTCTAAGTTCGGGCGGAGCCGAACATTAAATACCCGGCGCAAGTATTAAATATATGTTTTTTCACCCTTCCGAAACCTTCCGCTAGATGGTAAGCCGAGGTGTATCAATTTTGAGTAAATTAGCGTCCTTCAATTTCGAAATACTGAAGTTTCAAGCATTTCTTAAATTTACCGTTATATGAGAATCGGCCGTTATTTTAGTCCGATTTCAATAATTTTCAACGTTTTGCTTACACGTGGCAAGTACAATAACCATACCGAGTTTGGTACAAATTGGTAGAACGGTGACCGATATACTTATATGTGATCATAAGTGGGCGGTGCCACGCCCATTTTCCAAAATTTTACCATAAACGTATTTCTTGGTAAAGAATTGTTGCAAGCATCAATTTTGAATAAATTAGCTTCAATATTTACTGATTTATCGAAGATTTTGTATTTCTCTAAATTACCGTTATATGGGATGTGGGCGTGGTTATTGTCCGATTTTAAAAAGTTTCGGCGATTTTTTATGCTGTACCAAGGTCAACAACTGTGCCAAGTTTGGAAGGAATTGGTGCAGCGGTTACCAAGATATACACATGTAACCATAAGTAGGCGTGGCTACGCCCATTTTCCAAAAATTTATAATATTCTTATTTTTCGTCTAAAACTTATTATAAATATCAATTTTGAGTGAATAATCTCCAGTAGTTACTAAAATATCGCAGATTTGGTATTTCTGAAAATTACCGTTATATGGGAAGTAGGCGTGGTTATTGAGCGATTTTAAAAATTTTCGGCCATTTGGTATGCTATGCGAAGGCCAACAACTGTGCCAAGTTTGGAAGAAATTGGTGCAGCGGTTACCAAGATATACACATGTAACCATAAGTGGGCGTGGCTACGCCCATTTTCCAAAAATTTATAATATTCTTATTTTTCGTCTAAAAATTATTGTAAATATCAATTTTGAGTGAATTATCTTCAATAGTTACTAAAATATCGCAGTTTTCGTATTTCTGGAAATTACCGTTATATGGGAAGTGGGCGTGGTTAAAGTCCGATTTCGCCCATTTTCAATACCAACCTACCTTGGATTAAGGGAAACCTACGTACCAAATTTCGTTGAGATATCTCAATTTTTGCTCGAGTTATCGTGTACACGGACAGACGGACAGACGGACAGACGGACAGACGGACGGACGGACGGACAGACAGACATGGCTTAATCGATTTCTTTTTTCATCCTGATCATTTATGTATACATTTGTCTATATCTATCTCGATTCGTTTTGGCTGTTACAAACAACCGTTATGTGAACAAAATTAATATACCCTTGTGCACAAGTGCGCTCGGGTATAAAAACAACTATTCGTAGAAATGGCGTTGAATTCTTGAAAGTCAACATTTTTCGAAACTCTGTTCCTCTACAGGAGATTCCCAAAATACCAAATTTTTTATTAAACCATTTTTTCATAGTAACTATATTTTATAGGTACGCCAAGATCTCCAGAAAATGCTATGAAGTGACAAATAAAAAATCTTTAGTATACAAAAATGATTAAATATACGACCTATAAATATTTTTTGATTTCAGAATAAAAAATTCTTTTAGAGCCACCCTAATGTGTATACATACATATGTTTGTATGTTTGCAACCTTATATACATGTAAAGCTGTGTGAAAGTAAATTTCGGCTTTTATGATTGTCTATGCCCAAAATCACACTTTTACGGCTGTGCTTTATATGTACACACACGTTTGTTTTCTGTTGTTGGTTTTGACTTGAAAGCGAGTCAATGCCTGACGCTAATAGATGAATTGTCGTCTGGTACTTTGGCACATTGTAAAACATGCCAACGACTGGCAACAAACAAAAAGCGAAAATATGCTGGCGTAGTGGTAAACGCACCCACAGACAGGCACACCTCTTCTAGGATACTTAAATGGACAAAGGTTAAATCACGCAAGCGTTCATAGTTAGTGCTAATACCAGTAAGGGAACGTACCCATACTACGTGACCCGTTCAGGGGGGGG